CTGTGAAAGGAGCAGACTGAGGAGTATACACTATTTCTTCTGACCTTGGGACGGGATAACACCCTCCTCCTCCAATACTCTCACAAGACAGGGAGAACAGGTCAACGGCCACCATGGAGGGAAGTCAGCTTCCCCAAATCCTACAGCCAGTGTACTCCAAGCCAGACCAGGGTCCTGCCTTAGCCGCCTACAGGGAAGGCCAGGCTCACTAGAGTGCACCCATGCAGACGACGTGCCTGACTGGTAGTTACCTTGGCCGGTGCTGACACAGGACGGAGGAGGGAGGGCCGGGAACGCTTTTTGTTGTGTTCCAGGCTTTTCTCATGCTCATTCTTCTGGACACTGTTCATTTCACACGGCCCATTTCCCGTGAACTGAGGACATAACACAGGTGGTGGTTAGTGCTGGAGAGACAGGGCCAGATCCCCATGTCTGAGCATAAGAACTGGTTTCGGTTCAGCCCATAGCCCAAGTAGGTGCTGTCTGCCAAAGGCCAGGTGCTCTGTCTTCATATGAGGTGACTCCCAGTGAGATGCTCAGGTCTACTGGGCAGTGATCACAGACCAATGCTATAAAACTGGGAGAAGGCTTGAGTAAAGCCTTTATGGATGAGGGAGGGAGACAACTGAGCTGGGTCTTCCAGTGCAGGGGATCACACAGACCCCCACTGACAGGGTGTCTCACTATATGCATGGCAGCACCACAAATAGGCAAGGCACAGTGGGTAGAGAGACAGGCAGCAAGAGGAAGCAGCAGACGCTCACCAGGTCACTGATGAGGGGGTTGGAGTCAAGCTTTGAATTATTTTCCATGAATGATGAAAAGCCTCGTGGGGGCAATGGCATCACTTGCTGTGGGGGCTTGTATGGTTCAGGGCTCCAATGCCAGGCTCTACGCCACCCAACCACCAAGAGGTCTGGGATGTTCATCCTAAGCAGGTGCCCACTACAGGCACTTGACAGTATTTACTGAGGATGGCTCTGGAACAATCAATTTAGGATTTGTATCTGTACAAATGTACCAGAAAGCTGGAGTGGGCAGAGCAAGACAGACAGACTGCAGCTTTTTTCCGCAGGACATGGGCAGGGCTGGAGAGGCCCTACACTGCTTTTTGTTTTGACACAAGGACTTTCTCCAGGAAAGAGTGTAGTGGCATCGTCATAGCTCACTGCAGCCTCACATTCCTGGGCTCAAGAGATCCTCTCTCCTCAGCCTGCCAAGTAGCTAAGACTATAGGTGTATGCCTCCATGCCTGGCTAATTTTTCTAGTTTTTGTAGAGACCAGGTCTTGCTATATTGCTTAGGCTGCTCTTGAACTCTGAGCCTCAAGCAATCCTCCTGCCTCAGCTTCCCAGAGTGCTAGGATTATAGGCATGAGCCACCATGCCTGGCCCTGACATTGTGTGGAACCACTGTGATCACCTGTACTGCATTCCCCATCCCCACCACCACCACAGGACTTGGACACAAAGATGCACACAAATGGTGTGTTGTCAGCCCCAAAGCCTGGGCAAGATGGACAAGTCCTTGTGTAGCTGAACAAAACAGCTGGCAGCTATTAGATAATGATGATCTGGCTCTGAGTTGCTGCTAGGAACATGTATACCTGACATATTAACTGAAAAAGAAAAAAAACATATCCCCTTCCCCCCACCCAGGAAGAACAAACAGGATGCCATGTGTTACTTTTATTTATAAGGTAAGCATTTATCATTTTTTATTCTTTTTTTTTTTTTTGCCCCTGTGAGTGAAAAAGGTATAAGTATTTGGTTGTACATGCAGAGAAAACTTCTGGAAAAAGATACAAGATACTTGTTAGTGCCAATCTTGGAAGAGAATGACTGGGAACTGAGTCAAGGGAGGAAGTCTGCATATTATATTTGATACTCTTGCTAATGCTTCATGAGCATGTGCAATTTTTCAATAACAATAATAAAAAAGACCTATTATTTAGTTGTAGGCAAGACTTGTCACTTAGGGAATTAAACTTATTTGGGAAATAATTATCTAAAGATTCAAGGCTATTCCAAAAACTGTAAGCGGAGAAACAGGCATCCATGTAACAATTCTCCACTAGTATTTCGTTTTGTAGATCCAAGAAAAAGGAGAAACATCAATTCCTGAAAGAGGCAGCTGGGTGGCAATATAGATGTATGCTAAGTGAGAACAGGGACCTGGAGAGGAAACCTGCCATTCGCCAAGAAAGTATCACTGATCTTCTTCCAAGAGAAATCTCACTTTTTAGTTAAATGTCCCAATTTGTGAATACTTGAGCCAGATGGACCCCCAGAGACTACCTACATCAGGAGCTGGTAAGTTAACCACAAAGGCCTGTTTTTGTAAATACAGTTTTATTGATACTCGCTCACACCTGTTTGTTTTGTAAATAGTTTTATTGGTTCCCATTCATTTTCTTTTCTTTTCTTTTTTTTTTTTGAGACATCGGTGGCATCACAGGTCACAGCAACCTCCAACTCCTGGGCTTAAGCGATTCTCTCTTTTTTTTTTTTGAGACAGAGCCTTAAGCTATTGCCCTGGGTTGAATGCTGTAGTATCACAGCTCACAGGAACCCCCAACTCCTGGGCTCAAGAGATTCTCTTGTGATACTCCTCCCAAGTAGCTGGGACTATAGGCGCCTGCCACAATGCCCAGCTATTTTTTGGTTGCAGCCATCATTATTGTTTGGCGGGCCCAGGCTGAATTCGAACCTGCCAGCTCAGGTGTGTGTGGCTGGCCCCTTAGCCACTTGAGCCACAGGCACTGAGCCTGTTTTTTATTTTTATTTTTTGAGACAGAGTCTCCCTCAGTAAAGTGCCACGGCATCCCAAGTAGCTGGGATAACAGGTACCCATCACAACACCTGGCTATTTTTTTGTTGTAGTTGTCATTGTTGTTTAGCAGGCCCAGGCCAGATTCAAACTCCCCAGCCTCAGTGTATGTGGCTTGCACCCTAACCACTGAGCTATGGGCGCCAAGCCCCATTCATTTTCTTAATACAGTTTTACTGGCACATAGCCAACCTACTTATTGACATCTATTCCACGGCTACTTTTGAGCATGGAAGTAGTCTTTGTAACAGAGATTAACGGACTTACAAAGCCTGAGATATTTACTATTGTGTTTGGCTCTTTATAGGAAAACTTAGTCAACCCCTGATTCAGGCCAAATGGTCAAGTTTAGTTAGGACAATGCCAAATTTCAACTTTGGTTTCTTTTTCATGCAGTTTTAATAGATGCCCCCAAATTAATATAAAAGATTGTGAAGATATAATCTCAGTTACGACAAATGGTGTCATAGATGTTTTTAATAATTTAAAAAAGTTGAACCACTCTTTCTAAACATACAAGGTAGTTCTAATCATCCAATTTACACTAAAAACATTTGCTGAATTGGTAACAAATGCCATTTAAAGAAACTATGTTGGCAGGGAGTTTTCTGAGGGAAATACTGTACTTATTTTTCTAGGGTAACTCTGAAAGGACTAACTTCATAATTTGGTAAATGCCAGAGTTTATTCACCAGGGGGCGCTGTGGTCACAGACGTCCGAGGATAAGAGGCTGCCCTCTAAGCCCTACTACTAGGTTCACAGTGCTTGCACAATTATCCCAGAGCTATCGATGCCTTTGCTGAACTTCAGAGTTGGAGGTGAGTAGCGTAGGCTGCTAGATTGATCAGTTACCAAGTGTCCACTGTGCCTGACCCCCACAACCCTCACAGACAGGGCTCCCTACCCACTGTACCAACCCCCAAATTGGGGGTCTCAGAACTAGCTTCTTTAATGTAGCTATCTTAGGGCATTAGAGCCCCAGGCTCACCCTGGCCAGGTCCTCCCCTAAGGAATCTCCCAACTATGCAGGGGATACATCCTCATGGCCACCTCCTAGATGAGGAAGCTCATGAGGCCCAGAAGTGACCTGCTAGCCTACCACAATGAGGAAGCGATAAACCAGGTGTTCTACCTGTAAGCTCTGGCTCCAGTGTCAAGCCAGGGCCAGCGGAGTGTATCAATCCAGGAAGCCTCCAGGCATGAGGACTGGACTGTGCCCACCCCAATCACTCTGCTATCAACCTGGCTTGGGGAGGCTAGTCAGGGACACCACAGACATCCATTTTCTTTCAGGGATGGGGTATTCAGGAGCATCAGAACTGCTGATACTGAGGTCAGAGCTGAGAGGTGAGACTCAGTTTCAGGAGGATGAGACCCAAAGACAAGCCAGCAAGTACATGAGGGGGGAAGATGCAGCCTCACACTATGGGTGAGAGCAGCCCAAATGTTTGCCGGGGACTTAAATGCCTGCCACTTGGGGTGTGCCTCCAACATCATTAAGGGTATGAGGCAGGAGAGAAGTTGTGAGATCCTTCTGCGCTGAGTGGCCACATGGGCCTGGGAGCTGAATTTAGGAGGTCCCTGATGAGTAGGAAGGCAGGAGTGAGACCAGGATTTCTGAGGGAAGAGGAAGGAAAAACTAAGTAGAGATGCTGAACTTCAGTGAGATACAAGGTGCAGATGGTGGACTCACAGAAGAAAGCTGGACCTGAGGGAGGGCCCCAGGGCAGGGGCCTATGGAAGAGGTAAGCCCCTTGCCAGAGGAATTCCAGATAAGGGCTCTGCTGGACCCGCCACTAGGTACTCCCCAAAGTCTCCTGTGGGCACAGAGCACACTAGCTATGGGGACACAGTGCTTGTGCTCTCAGGAATAGAAATCTGGGAAGAAGGAGATGAGTCAACCAGCCTCTGCCCTCTCCATCTGCTTTTCCTGCATAAATGCAGCTGCCCCTTCAGAGCACTGAGCATGTGCCAGGTGCTGTAGGAAACATCTGAAGGACAGTAACTCCTAAAGTCACTACGGGGGGGACACATCTGGCTCAACCCTATGGCCTGAAGAACACTATGGCCCAGGCAGGAGGGAAGGTCAGGTTATAGCTTCCTTGATGATGAGCTGGACTCGATGTCAGCCCTCCACACATGAGCACACAGTTTCCCTAACATGGAGTTAGGAAGTGTTTCTAGGTGGCATCCCCACTTAGGGATGGTACTACACGTCCTAGAGATGGTAACTTGCAGGGACTGTCCCCTGCAGTCCCCCAGCCACTGTCCTAGGCAGGTGGGACTCTGGGTGGGAATGTGGGAAGGAAGAATTGGGAGGGGGGAGGAAACCCCAAGAAAAAGCACTGGAAACCTGCAGGGCTCGACGTCCATACCCAGACCCGTCACCACCTGAGCTCCTCCCTTTAAAATCCACATCTCCCAGGTTTTACACTGAAACTATAAATATTGCTGAAAGGAATTAAAGACGATATAAGTAAATGGAAAGACCCTCTTGTGTTCAGAAATTGAAAAACTTAATTGTTGTTAAAATGATGATATTCTCCAAGGTGATCTAAGGATCTATTGAAATTCCAATGGACTTTTTTTAAGAAACATAAACTTGTTTTTTTCAAACGTATATGAAATTGCAAGGGGTGCTGAACACCATACAATCTTGTAAAAGAATAAAGTTGGAAGATACATTTTCTGATTTCAACCTTACTACAAAGCTACAGTAATCAATGGTATTGGCATAAGAACAGACACACAGACCAATGGGTAAGAAGTGAAAGTTCCAAAATAAAACCACAGAATGATAGTCAATGAATTTTCAACAATGGCATCAAGAAAATCTAAAACGGGGAAGAACAAATAGTGCTAGGGCTAGGCACAGTGGCTCATGCCTATTATCCTAAGGTAGATTGCTTGAGCTCACGAGTTTAAGACCAACCTAAGCAAGAGACCCTGACTCTAAACAAACAAACAAACAAACAAACAAACAAACAAAAAAATGTAGCCAGGCGTTGTGGGCACTTGCAATCCCAGCTACTTGGGAGGCTGAGGCAAAAGGATCACTTGAGCCCCAGAGTTTGAGGTTGCTGTGAGCTATGATGCCATGGCACTCTACCAGGAGCAAGAGAGCAAGAGTCTGTCTCAAAAACAAAAAAGAAAAAAAACCAAACAGTGCTAAGATAACTGGGTCTCCATTTACAGAAGAATGAAGTTGGATCCCTACCTCACACCAAATACAAAAATTAACTAAAATGGGCCAACAACCTACGTACAAGAGCTAAAACTATAAAATCAGGAGAAAACTTGAGGGCAGAGCTTCAGACCTTGATTTGGCAATAATTTCTTAAATTTCACATTAAAAACATGAGCCACATACAAACAAAATAAATAAATTGGACTTCAAAATTAAAACTTTTGTGCATCAAAGAACACTAACAAGAAAATGAAAAGACAACCTATAGAATGGAAGAGAATACTGGCAAATCACACATCTGATAAGGGTCTAGTCACAACACATAAACAACTCCTATAACTCAACAAGATGAAAACAAATTAAAAAATTAGCAAGAAAGTTGAGTAGACATTTCTCCAACGAAGGTACACAAATTGTCAACAAGCACCTTGAAAGGATGTTCAACATCATTAGTCACCAGAGAAATGCAAATTGAAACCATGGTGTGCTCTAACTGCACATTGATTATGGTGGTTAAAAAACAAATACAAAATTGGAAAATGAGGAGTTTTGGCCAGGATGCAGAGAAACCAGAACCCAGAACACTGCTGATAGAAATGTGAAATGGTACAGCCACTGTAGAAAACAGTTTGGAAGTTCTTCAAAAAGTTAAGCACAGAATTAATATATACCAGCAATTCTACTCCTAGGCATATACCCAAGAGAATTCAAAACATGTGTTCAAACAAACACTTGTACATAAATGTTCACAGCAGCACTTGTTACAATAGCCAAAAGGCAGAAACAACACAAACATTCATCAACAGATGAATGGAATGGATAAACAAAATGTGGTCTGTCCATGCGTGGGAGTATTTGACCACAAAAAGGAATGAAGCACTGACACCTGCTATAACATCGATGAACCCCCAAAATGAGCTGGATGAAAGACACCAGACACCAAAGGTCACAGAAAGTGTGACTCTATTTATATGAAATGCCCAGAATAGGCAATCCATGGACAGAAAGCTGAATGGTGGCTGCCAGGGGCTGGGGGAGGGGGAAGGGAGATTGACTGTCAATGGGGATGGGGTTTTCTTTT